GAAGGCAAAGCTTTCCGTTTTGCCAGGCCTTTCAGACTAGCTGGGGGCGCTTTGGTCTTCTTTTCTAACGTCTCCCCTGCAATAGACTCGCTCCTTCTATCTTCCTGTTCTCTGACTCTGGTCTGAACTTTGCACCTCACCTGAAGTCTTTCTTGGTAGCAGGACAAGAAACGAGGGCTGGAGATATTTGGAAACTGAGCCTCTTCCTGGTAACAACCTGATTAAATTGATGGTAACCCACAGTATTTCTGTGGATTACCATCAGTTTGGCTTCCTTGTTTATCTGTCCTGGATTCCCTGCGTTTACAGCTCTTATTTTCAACAGTGTACAATCTCTGGTCTAGCTGGATTTGTAAGGTAGAATTAGGATCATGATAGTGGGAGGGAGGAGGAAGCACTAAAGAACTGGAGCAAAGTTGTGGGTTTCATCAGTGCTTATACTGCACCCTGACTGGCTCGTCTCTTCCTTGTGACCCTTCTGTAAGGGGATGTCCAATTGCCTACAGATGGGCTTTGGGGCTCCATGCTGCACTCCTCCTCATTCACAATGATATGATTTTTTGTTCTGGGTCTTTGATGCCTGATACCTGATTCTATGGACACCTCATTATCACACAGCCTGGTGTGCTTCTATGATGTGGGCTTTGTTGCTTCTCACCTAGATGGCCACTTGTTTATCTTCAAGGCTTTAAGAGCCCAGACACTATATCTTTGATAGCCAGGCACCATCAGCTTTCTTCACCACATTTGCTTATGCCCCCCATTTAGTCTTCAGTGATCATGTTGGGAAGTGAGCATCATGCAATGCCAGGTTATTAGAACAAAGTGTTCTTGCCTTGAGGGAGTACGTGAGTAGAGGCCCAATATCCATCTCCTACCTTAATTCTTAACATATAGATATGAGTACATAGATCTATCCCCCTCTCATATATAAATATATTTGGGTATGTATATGCCTGTATTTAGACCTCTATAAATGTCATTTGCCTCCTGGCTCTTTCCTCTATTTCCTTTTACTTTCCTCTTGTCCCACCATCATGTTCAGCCTTCATTTGGGTTTAGTAATTCCTCACTGCTACATTGCCCTTGACTGAGCCCCACTAGGCATTATGCACCCTTCTTTCCATTGATTTTAATTCACTTGTTGTTCCCTTGTCCCGGGGTTGGTTCCCTTACCTTCCTTTCTCCTTTCTCCCTTTCTCCCGTATCTTCCCTGGAACCACTGGGCACATTATTTTCATCTTGGAATCGTCTATCCTGCCTACCTTATCTAAATAAACCCACAGACATTAATAAGTGCAAAAATCAGCCAAAGCCAGACAAAACTAGTGACGTCAAGACCAACAAAACAATAACAACAACAAAACACCCCAAAACAAAATAACAACAACAAAAAGCAAGCCCCTGACAAAAATGGAAAAACCTATAAATAGTTCAAGGTCTGTTTGTTGGCCTTTAGGAGTGTTGTCCAATCCAGTCTGATGGGATGTTACACTCTGTCACCCAAGTCTAGTTTGAGTATTCCCTGGGGATTTAATCACTTTGCTCCTCTTGCTGCTCTGTTACATGCCCTTAGTGTTTCACCCCAGTGTGATGTGTAATGGGGTCAGATTATGCACAACTCTGTGGTTTAGTGAGGGACATCCTGTCTTGTGCTGGGGGCAATCCCTATGGTCTTCTCTGTGCATTGTCTGCTCTGAGCAGGAATATCATCCTCGGGGCTTAGTGGGCCAGGATATGTTCCCCTTCCTTACCATCCCTCTTAATTTCTCCTGTGTGCTCTAATCAGATGTGTCCCTCTCCCCAAGCTGAAGCTTCTGTGCTGTCCTCTGAAGTGCATTCTTCTGGTGTGTGTCGGGGGTCCACATAGTTCAGATTGGGGCTGGCCCTGCAGACCTCTCTATTGGTTTCCTGGTACATGCCAGTATGTCTTGATGCATTGGGTTGAAGCCTGGTCTCTCCCTCCCTCTACTGTGGAGATATAAATAATACCCTCCCCCTGGATGGGTTAGTGCCCTCCTTCCTCCCTACCCATGCCTTTTCCCCGCTCTTTCTTTGTCTCTCCTATTGAGTTAGCTGTCCTATGTATCCCAGGATTGGGTTTGGCCCCTGCCAGAGTAGCTGGACCTCACCCCAGGAATGCATGTATATATGGTAGTAGCTTTTCCCCTATGCCCATTTTTTTAAAGCTTTCCTCAGTGGATTCATGTTGTACTTGTCCTTTGTGCTTGGCTTACTTCACTTAGCACGACTTCATCCAGATCTTCCCATGCAGTAATGTGCTACATGTGTTCATTGCTGCTTCTTAGGGATGCATAGTACTCCATTGTATGTATGTACCATATTTTTTTTATCCATTTGTCTGTGTTGGGTCAGGCACTTCTCACAGAACATTAGAAAAAACCTTCCTGCCTGGCTAACTTCAAAGGGC